AAAATGCTTTGCTAGTAAATTGGGTGCCATTATCGCACACCATTTTCTTCGGTGCTCCGAAGTGACCTAGGACTCGTTCACGGAAGGCTCGAATTAGAGACGCCGAGGTTGCTTTGCGTAGAGGGATCAGTTCAATCCATTTAGTGAACGCATCGAAGAAAACAAGTAACATGTTGTTTCCTTGCTTGGAACGGGGCAGCGGGCCGACGAAGTCTGCACAAAGTACTGCAAATGGTTCCTCTACCTGTCTCGTGAGCATCTTGCCGGCTTGTCTTCGTTGGACTGCTTTAAACTTTTGGCACAGGACACATTTTCGTACATATGCCCCGACGTCGCGGAACATGCCAGGCCAGTAGTGTTTCTGGGAGATACGGAGAATGGTCTTCCGTACCCCCAAGTGGCCTGCTGTGGGCGCGTCGTGGCATTCTTGTAAGATTCGTTGGCGATGCTCGCCTGGCACACATAACTTCCACGGTATGTAGTCCTGATCGTCGGGACGATGTCCTAAGTGGCGATACAGTTCTCCGTTTTCGACGACCTAATCCGGAAACTTCTGTGGGTTATCCTTGATGTCCTGTAATTTGCGTTGAATCCACTTACACCGCTGGTTGCCGGTCGTGATCCGCTGGAGCCTCTCTAACGGCTGTCGAGATAGAGCGTCGTTGTATTTTTTTTTTTTTTTTTTTTTTAAACGCGCGTAGTCCCACGGCCCACCACCCGCCCGCTTAAGGAGCTGCAGAGAGTCAGAAGAGGATAAAATAGGGAAAAGTCTATTGTAGTCAGAACAAAGTACTCTGAAAGGCTCATGCACGTTATAATTACGTCTACACTGATTTAAAACTAAAGGAACATAATTTCTAGTTAATCTACTTGGTACCGAGAAATTTAGTCTACTCAGCAAATAAGGACAGTCAATATCACCACGTATAAGGTTATGAATAAATACAGTACCAAGCATCGTTCTACGGTTAGTAAGGGAGGGCAGGTTAATGAGGAGCAATCTATGCGAATATGAGGGTAGGAATAGGTTTGCATTCCAGTTAAGGCGGCGTAGTGCAAAAATTAAAAAGTTTTTTTGTACTGATTCAATGCGATCAGCATGTACTCCGTATTGAGGACTCCAAACGGGTGCCCCATACTCGAGGATTGGCCGGACCAACGATATAAATAAAGCCTTGGTAACGTAAGGATCCTCAAATTCCTTCGACCATCGTTTAATAAATCCAAGCATTCCCCTAGCTTTATTAACCATGCTCGAAATATGCAGAGTGAATTTAAGTTTGGGGTCCAATAGGACGCCAAGATCGTCAACAAGCGCTATTCTTTCCAAGGCACCACCACTTAGCGAATAGGTGACGTTATGCGGATTGACCCGACAGAACGTCATCAGCTTGCATTTGGAGCTGTTTAATTTTAGTAAATTGTCGTGACACCAGTTTTGAAAATTGTTTAGGTCTGCCTGAAGGCTTAAATGACGGGAGCAATCATTATACTGCAGACAGAGTTTTACGTCGTCCGCGTACATAAGTACGCGGGAATGCGTAATGATCGATGGAAGATCATTAATGAACAAAGTGAAAAGTAATGGTCCCAGATGGCTTCCTTGTGGTACACCAGAGGTAACTCTGAGGAGACCACTTAAGGAATTTTTGAAAAGGACTCTTTGAGTTCGGCCACTGAGATAACTAAAGATCCAACTTAAAAGATCTGCTGGAAACCCCATCATGTCAAGTTTGCGAATCATTAGGAAGTGATTTACAGAGTCAAATGCTTTACTGAAGTCTGTGTAAATGACATCAGTTTGGAAATTATTTTTAAAGCCATCTATCACGAAGGATGTGAGCTCTAGAAGATTTGTTGTGGTAGACCTGCGTTTCATAAATCCGTGTTGGCATGGAGATATGATTGATCTACAAAGGTGCTGCAAGTCGGGGGTTACTGCACGTTCGAAAAGCTTTGGAATTGCTGACAATTTAGAAATACCTCTATAATTGCAAGCATCCGACTTGCTTCCCTTTTTATGAAGGGGAATAACAAATGACTCCTTCCAAATAAAGCGAAGGCGGAAAGGAACATGATCTGCGCTTAGTGTTGACAAAATTATAGAACTGTTTGGGATCCCGTAAAAACTGGGACCTGCAACGGACTAAATAATTTTTGTAACACTGAGCGTTAAGCACGGTAAAGTTTGACCGAGCTCTTATGTATTTTTCAAAAACAGACTGACAACCTGAAATTTTATATTTTTTATAAAGTCTGGACTTTACATTCCTAAGGTGTGTTAACTCCTTACTAAACCAAGGTGGTTTATGGGATGTTGACGGGTTATATAGCGGAACACACGAGTTAAAAAACAGTTTGATTGCCGAATAAAAAATTGTAATGGCGTCTTCCATATTATTGCAGGAATAGAGATCGGACCAGTCATTGCCAGATATAAGATGATTAAGTCTCAGAAAGTTAGCCTTGCGAAAACAATGAATTCGCTTGGCTGACTTTAAAGCATTATTTTTTACTGTTATACCAATGTCGATAGTCACCTCGAAAGCAGGGTGATATGGATCTTCAGGCAGCGTAAGTGGAGTAGCTCTAGAAAGAACAACACTTTCAGGATTTGAGACGAGGCACAAATCAAGTAAGCGATCTAAAGAATTTCGAACATGGTTTACCTGACACAGAGGTATGTCAAGTAGACCGTCAATGAATTCATTTTGGCCTAAGGGTTGTAAAGCATTGGAATTATCATCCGAGGACCACGTAGTTCCAGGTATATTAAAATCCCCTAGAACTACTAACTGATCCATATCGGACAAAGAACTCGAAATTGACTTTATACCTGATAGGTGCCTAAAATAGTCCTCAAGTTCGGACGAAGGAGGTATGTAAGAGCAGGTAATAAAAATTAACCTGCCAGCGACAGACAGTTTTACGCATAAAAATTCAAGCTCAAAGTTCAAATGATCTTCTGTCAAAACCTCTTCTGACGTGAGGCTAGCGTCCACTGCAATAAGGACGCCCCCTCCCCGTCTAGAGGGACGGTCATGCCTATATATTGTGTACTTACCCGGAAAAACTTCGGAGCTAAAGATCTCCGGCTTTAACCAGGTTTCTGTGAACACAATAACTTGGGATGCAAACGAAAAGCTATCAGTATACAATTTGGTTAGCTTGCTACGCAAACCTCTTGTATTCTGATAGCTAATTAGGAGGTTAGTGGTTAGTTTTTGGGGGTAAAGACGGCGCGGTTTGTTGGTCCCGGCCGGGGAGTTTAATTCCCGTAGGGCCTTTCTTTTTATTTTCGCTACGAACTCCTTAACCACCATTTTTGCTGGCCAAAAGTCGCTCGAGCATATGGTGTTAAAAAGTTCGTCAGGAACACTTATCTTGAAAGATGAAATGTTCCTAGCGTATGAAAAATTGAATTTTTCCACCTTTACTTTATCGGCATTAATTTTGTCTTTAATGTAAGACGTGACATCAAATGATGTGAGATCAGGGGCCAGCCGAGAAACAAATATTTGTCTCATTTGTGGAACCACTGTGAGGGGTTTTGCTACTGCAGGCAGTGGGCCTGCGGTGGCAATTTGGGCCGGTAGTCCGGTCTCAGAAGCCTCTTGTGGGGGTATATTTGGTTGGTTAGGTGGAATTACATTTTGAGAACCACCTTCGGACAAATCGGAACTTTTTAGAGGCGTTGGTCTACACTCCACTGTGGATTGATCGGGGTCCGAATCTTTTTTGGCTGCCGATCTTAGCAACATTTGAGGGGTTGCTAAAGTCGGCTGCTCATCCGCAGAGGAGTTCTGCCGGTCGCTTCGGAGTTGCGGGACGATTCCCTCAGGCCTACCACCAGCAGCCTTCTTGCGCTTCGGGGACTCCTCTAATAGCTTAAGGCTATTAAACTGCGAGTCCAGCGCTAAGAGTAGATCACCAGCCCTGGCAAAACTATCTCTAGCTATGCCAAAACTAGCGATCAGTCCCTTCAGGCCGCCTTTGGATTGGCTCATGAAGGACTTCATTTCCTTCGCAACTTCGCGACAAGCTTCGCAGCAGAACTGCAAACCAAGGCCTTTACTTAAATCGTCACTTGTCCGCCCTGTGAATCCAGCGCACTTAGTGTGCACCATCCTATCACAAAGCCAACAAGTGAGTTTGCCCTGCTCAGGCTTTATTACCTGAAGGCAGGTTTTTTCAAACAGAAATGGTAAGAGTCCATGTTTATTAGATTAGGGACCACTGTGCCAAGATGAAAATGAAATCGAAATTTTTAAGCGAGCAACTCAAATGTACCGCAAGAGCGTATAAATTGCACGCTTAGAACTTTCGAGTTTGTTAGTCCAAAAAAAGAAGAGCGGAAGAGCGAGAGAGCGGGAGAGTGAGAGAGCGGAAGAGCGGGGACAGTTTATGTGCATGCACTTGTTACAACAACACTACTGTTGACGGACGAAGCACAAAAGAAAGTCAGTAAGACAAAATTAAATCGCTAAATAAACACAATATGCACAAAAATTCACCCGCGAAGCGAACGGTTTCGAACACAAAGGTATTTAAACAATTAAATATTCAAATTTAAGAAGAGAACCACCGCTGGTTGTATCAAAAAAATAAAAAATTCGGAGCGCACAAAAAAACACGACCGTTCGCTTGAAAAGAGAAAAATACATCGTATTGATATTGTTTTAGCTCAAGCGCCCATCTGGCGATTCTTCCCGTGGGGTTCTCTATATGGTTCAGCCACTTAAGCGCTAAGTGATCGGTGATTACGTTGAAACAATAACCTTCGAGATAACATCTGAGCTTGCGAATTCCCCAGACGATTGCCAAACATTCCTTTTCCATTGGGGAGTAGTTAAGCTCGGCCGCGTCTAGTTTACGGCTCACGTAGGCTATCACTCGTTCCTGTCCGTTGATGGTCTGGGTTAAAACACCGCTGTAATGACCCAAGAATCACTCCCTGTTACAACAAATATATATATTATTTGGTTTATGTATTTTACACTTTATTTGCGGACCGGCGATGCTGGTCCATCGATCGTACGTGTCACACTACTAGAACATAATAGAGAGATAATAAACCAATCGTTGACGTCGGCGCTGACGTCGCTGCTCCCGCCATCGCCCTCGCTCTTCGATGCAGGTTCCCACATCCCTCCTTTTTTTATCAGCTTTAATTTCAATCCTTGGTCCAAGCTTGGTGGTTCCATCCCGGCTGTCTGTGCTGGCTGGTGTTCCGATTGTTCTGTGTTTGTCAACTCTTCTGGTGGAGTCACCTGTACCTGTGGAAAAGAACCAGGATCGGAGCTACTGTCCGACGGGCTCCTTATTGGTATCTTCTTTAAATGGCTAATATTCCTGGTTAAACGTCTACCATCTCTTGACACTATTGCTATGTTTCCTTTCCTCTCTAGAACATCGTATTCGGTAGGGTCGAAGTTTGGTGTTAGCTTATGTGGGAACACAACATTTTTTATTAGGACCTTGTCACCTACTCCTATATCAATTTCCTTCGCCCCTCTCTTTTTATCAGCTGATTCTTTCCCCTTCTGTTTTGCAACGCAGTCTTGGTCTCGTTCTGCTGAGTCTAATACTTCCGCGCCCAAATCCTGAATCCCTGGCATCTTATCACGGATCAGCCTGTTAAACATTAACTGCGTAGGAGCAGAACCTGTACTACTATGTGGGGTTACGTTGTACATCAACACAAATTTCTGTATCTCCTCTTTGTAGTTATTTTTGTGTTGATATGCGATCTTTAAACGCTTCACTAGTAATTTGTTTATATTTTCAACCTCACCATTTGCCTGAGGCCAGTAAGGCGGAGTTCTAATCTGCTCTATGCCACAAACTTTGCAATATTCTTTAAACTCGCTACTGATGTACTGCCGTCCATTGTCCGTCCGTAAGTATTTGGGAAAACCAGGTCTGCAGAAAATTTCTTTCATTACATCGATAATGGTCGTTGATGTTATAGAACGCAGGAATTTAAACTCAATGTATCGCGAGTAATAATCAATGAAAACGAGTAGGAATTCGCCATTTGGCAAGGGACCCAATAAATCGGAAGCCACGCATATCCAAGGACCCGTTGGAAACGGTGTCCTACTCATTGGTGCTGGATTGTTTGCTTGCGAGACTAGAAGGCAATCTTGGGAGAGGTGAAAGCCACAACTTTATATGGCCCATCAAACTTCGGCGCTAACTTGGCCGCGAATCCCTCGGAAGCCTTTGAAAGGTGGTGTTGTCGCACCAAAACAAAAGATCCTGGGACTGGACGGCATCTCCTGCGGCGGAGATTGTACTGACGACCCTGATCTTTGCTTACTCTTTGTATGTTTCCTTGGACGATGCTGTAGATTTCTCGTAAGTGGTCGGCTCTCTGTGTGGGCGTCTGTGTTATGGTTCCCGTTCCCGGGGTGACTTGGTCGTACCAAGCTCTGGGTAACCGCGGTTCTCTGCCTTGTATTAGGAATGCCGGGCTGTATCCCGTCGAGTCGGAGACACTAGAATTCAATGCAAGAGTGATTTCGGGGATGAGAGTATCCCATGTGTTTTGCTGGTCGCCTAGATACTGCGAGATCATCGTCTTGATTGTACGGTTCGCCCTTTCGGTGGGGTTTTCGCAAGGACAGTAGGGTGCTGTATACTGGAGCTCTACTCCTATATCTGATAGAAAGGTTCAAAATGCTTTGCTAGTAAATTGGGTGCCATTATCGCACACCATTTTCTTCGGTGCTCCGAAGTGACCTAGGACTCGTTCACGGAAGGCTCGAATTAGAGACGCCGAGGTTGCTTTGCGTAGAGGGATCAGTTCAATCCATTTAGTGAACGCATCGAAGAAAACAAGTAACATGTTGTTTCCTTGCTTGGAACGGGGCAGCGGGCCGACGAAGTCTGCACAAAGTACTGCAAATGGTTCCTCTACCTGTCTCGTGAGCATCTTGCCGGCTTGTCTTCGTTGGACTGCTTTAAACTTTTGGCACAGGACACATTTTCGTACATATGCCCCGACGTCGCGGAACATGCCAGGCCAGTAGTGTTTCTGGGAGATACGGAGAATGGTCTTCCGTACCCCCAAGTGGCCTGCTGTGGGCGCGTCGTGGCATTCTTGTAAGATTCGTTGGCGATGCTCGCCTGGCACACATAACTTCCACGGTATGTAGTCCTGATCGTCGGGACGATGTCCTAAGTGGCGATACAGTTCTCCGTTTTCGACGACCTAATCCGGAAACTTCTGTGGGTTATCCTTGATGTCCTGTAATTTGCGTTGAATCCACTTACACCGCTGGTTGCCGGTCGTGATCCGCTGGAGCCTCTCTAACGGCTGTCGAGATAGAGCGTCGTTGTATTTTTTTTTTTTTTTTTTTTTTAAACGCGCGTAGTCCCACGGCCCACCACCCGCCCGCTTAAGGAGCTGCAGAGAGTCAGAAGAGGATAAAATAGGGAAAAGTCTATTGTAGTCAGAACAAAGTACTCTGAAAGGCTCATGCACGTTATAATTACGTCTACACTGATTTAAAACTAAAGGAACATAATTTCTAGTTAATCTACTTGGTACCGAGAAATTTAGTCTACTCAGCAAATAAGGACAGTCAATATCACCACGTATAAGGTTATGAATAAATACAGTACCAAGCATCGTTCTACGGTTAGTAAGGGAGGGCAGGTTAATGAGGAGCAATCTATGCGAATATGAGGGTAGGAATAGGTTTGCATTCCAGTTAAGGCGGCGTAGTGCAAAAATTAAAAAGTTTTTTTGTACTGATTCAATGCGATCAGCATGTACTCCGTATTGAGGACTCCAAACGGGTGCCCCATACTCGAGGATTGGCCGGACCAACGATATAAATAAAGCCTTGGTAACGTAAGGATCCTCAAATTCCTTCGACCATCGTTTAATAAATCCAAGCATTCCCCTAGCTTTATTAACCATGCTCGAAATATGCAGAGTGAATTTAAGTTTGGGGTCCAATAGGACGCCAAGATCGTCAACAAGCGCTATTCTTTCCAAGGCACCACCACTTAGCGAATAGGTGACGTTATGCGGATTGACCCGACAGAACGTCATCAGCTTGCATTTGGAGCTGTTTAATTTTAGTAAATTGTCGTGACACCAGTTTTGAAAATTGTTTAGGTCTGCCTGAAGGCTTAAATGACGGGAGCAATCATTATACTGCAGACAGAGTTTTACGTCGTCCGCGTACATAAGTACGCGGGAATGCGTAATGATCGATGGAAGATCATTAATGAACAAAGTGAAAAGTAATGGTCCCAGATGGCTTCCTTGTGGTACACCAGAGGTAACTCTGAGGAGACCACTTAAGGAATTTTTGAAAAGGACTCTTTGAGTTCGGCCACTGAGATAACTAAAGATCCAACTTAAAAGATCTGCTGGAAACCCCATCATGTCAAGTTTGCGAATCATTAGGAAGTGATTTACAGAGTCAAATGCTTTACTGAAGTCTGTGTAAATGACATCAGTTTGGAAATTATTTTTAAAGCCATCTATCACGAAGGATGTGAGCTCTAGAAGATTTGTTGTGGTAGACCTGCGTTTCATAAATCCGTGTTGGCATGGAGATATGATTGATCTACAAAGGTGCTGCAAGTCGGGGGTTACTGCACGTTCGAAAAGCTTTGGAATTGCTGACAATTTAGAAATACCTCTATAATTGCAAGCATCCGACTTGCTTCCCTTTTTATGAAGGGGAATAACAAATGACTCCTTCCAAATAAAGCGAAGGCGGAAAGGAACATGATCTGCGCTTAGTGTTGACAAAATTATAGAACTGTTTGGGATCCCGTAAAAACTGGGACCTGCAACGGACTAAATAATTTTTGTAACACTGAGCGTTAAGCACGGTAAAGTTTGACCGAGCTCTTATGTATTTTTCAAAAACAGACTGACAACCTGAAATTTTATATTTTTTATAAAGTCTGGACTTTACATTCCTAAGGTGTGTTAACTCCTTACTAAACCAAGGTGGTTTATGGGATGTTGACGGGTTATATAGCGGAACACACGAGTTAAAAAACAGTTTGATTGCCGAATAAAAATTGTAATGGCGTCTTCCATATTATTGCAGGAATAGAGATCGGACCAGTCATTGCCAGATATAAGATGATTAAGTCTCAGAAAGTTAGCCTTGCGAAAACAATGAATTCGCTTGGCTGACTTTAAAGCATTATTTTTTACTGTTATACCAATGTCGATAGTCACCTCGAAAGCAGGGTGATATGGATCTTCAGGCAGCGTAAGTGGAGTAGCTCTAGAAAGAACAACACTTTCAGGATTTGAGACGAGGCACAAATCAAGTAAGCGATCTAAAGAATTTCGAACATGGTTTACCTGACACAGAGGTATGTCAAGTAGACCGTCAATGAATTCATTTTGGCCTAAGGGTTGTAAAGCATTGGAATTATCATCCGAGGACCACGTAGTTCCAGGTATATTAAAATCCCCTAGAACTACTAACTGATCCATATCGGACAAAGAACTCGAAATTGACTTTATACCTGATAGGTGCCTAAAATAGTCCTCAAGTTCGGACGAAGGAGGTATGTAAGAGCAGGTAATAAAAATTAACCTGCCAGCGACAGACAGTTTTACGCATAAAAATTCAAGCTCAAAGTTCAAATGATCTTCTGTCAAAACCTCTTCTGACGTGAGGCTAGCGTCCACTGCAATAAGGACGCCCCCTCCCCGTCTAGAGGGACGGTCATGCCTATATATTGTGTACTTACCCGGAAAAACTTCGGAGCTAAAGATCTCCGGCTTTAACCAGGTTTCTGTGAACACAATAACTTGGGATGCAAACGAAAAGCTATCAGTATACAATTTGGTTAGCTTGCTACGCAAACCTCTTGTATTCTGATAGCTAATTAGGAGGTTAGTGGTTAGTTTTTTGGGGGTAAAGACGGCGCGGTTTGTTGGTCCCGGCCGGGGAGTTTAATTCCCGTAGGGCCTTTCTTTTTTATTTTCGCTACGAACTCCTTAACCACCATTTTTGCTGGCCAAAAGTCGCTCGAGCATATGGTGTTAAAAGTTCGTCAGGAACACTTATCTTGAAAGATGAAATGTTCCTAGCGTATGAAAAATTGAATTTTTCCACCTTTACTTTATCGGCATTAATTTTGTCTTTAATGTAAGACGTGACATCAAATGATGTGAGATCAGGGGCCAGCCGAGAAACAAATATTTGTCTCATTTGTGGAACCACTGTGAGGGGTTTTTGCTACTGCAGGCAGTGGGCCTGCGGTGGCAATTTGGGCCGGTAGTCCGGTCTCAGAAGCCTCTTGTGGGGGTATATTTGGTTGGTTAGGTGGAATTACATTTTGAGAACCACCTTCGGACAAATCGGAACTTTTTAGAGGCGTTGGTCTACACTCCACTGTGGATTGATCGGGGTCCGAATCTTTTTTGGCTGCCGATCTTAGCAACATTTGAGGGGTTGCTAAAGTCGGCTGCTCATCCGCAGAGGAGTTCTGCCGGTCGCTTCGGAGTTGCGGGACGATTCCCTCAGGCCTACCACCAGCAGCCTTCTTGCGCTTCGGGGACTCCTCTAATAGCTTAAGGCTATTAAACTGCGAGTCCAGCGCTAAGAGTAGATCACCAGCCCTGGCAAAACTATCTCTAGCTATGCCAAAACTAGCGATCAGTCCCTTCAGGCCGCCTTTGGATTGGCTCATGAAGGACTTCATTTCCTTCGCAACTTCGCGACAAGCTTCGCAGCAGAACTGCAAACCAAGGCCTTTACTTAAATCGTCACTTGTCCGCCCTGTGAATCCAGCGCACTTAGTGTGCACCATCCTATCACAAAGCCAACAAGTGAGTTTGCCCTGCTCAGGCTTTATTACCTGAAGGCAGGTTTTTTCAAACAGAAATGGTAAGAGTCCATGTTTATTAGATTAGGGACCACTGTGCCAAGATGAAAATGAAATCGAAATTTTTAAGCGAGCAACTCAAATGTACCGCAAGAGCGTATAAATTGCACGCTTAGAACTTTCGAGTTTGTTAGTCCAAAAAAAGAAGAGCGGAAGAGCGAGAGAGCGGGAGAGTGAGAGAGCGGAAGAGCGGGGACAGTTTATGTGCATGCACTTGTTACAACAACACTACTGTTGACGGACGAAGCACAAAAGAAAGTCAGTAAGACAAAATTAAATCGCTAAATAAACACAATATGCACAAAAATTCACCCGCGAAGCGAACGGTTTCGAACACAAAGGTATTTAAACAATTAAATATTCAAATTTAAGAAGAGAACCACCGCTGGTTGTATCAAAAAATAAAAAATTCGGAGCGCACAAAAAAACACGACCGTTCGCTTGAAAAGAGAAAAATACATCGTATTGATATTGTTTTAGCTCAAGCGCCCATCTGGCGATTCTTCCCGTGGGGTTCTCTATATGGTTCAGCCACTTAAGCGCTAAGTGATCGGTGATTACGTTGAAACAATAACCTTCGAGATAACATCTGAGCTTGCGAATTCCCCAGACGATTGCCAAACATTCCTTTTCCATTGGGGAGTAGTTAAGCTCGGCCGCGTCTAGTTTACGGCTCACGTAGGCTATCACTCGTTCCTGTCCGTTGATGGTCTGGGTTAAAACACCGCTGTAATGACCCAAGAATCACTCCCTGTTACAACAAATATATATATTATTTGGTTTATGTATTTTACACTTTATTTGCGGACCGGCGATGCTGGTCCATCGATCGTACGTGTCACACTACTAGAACATAATAGAGAGATAATAAACCAATCGTTGACGTCGGCGCTGACGTCGCTGCTCCCGCCATCGCCCTCGCTCTTCGATGCAGGTTCCCACATCCCTCCTTTTTTTATCAGCTTTAATTTCAATCCTTGGTCCAAGCTTGGTGGTTCCATCCCGGCTGTCTGTGCTGGCTGGTGTTCCGATTGTTCTGTGTTTGTCAACTCTTCTGGTGGAGTCACCTGTACCTGTGGAAAAGAACCAGGATCGGAGCTACTGTCCGACGGGCTCCTTATTGGTATCTTCTTTAAATGGCTAATATTCCTGGTTAAACGTCTACCATCTCTTGACACTATTGCTATGTTTCCTTTCCTCTCTAGAACATCGTATTCGGTAGGGTCGAAGTTTGGTGTTAGCTTATGTGGGAACACAACATTTTTTATTAGGACCTTGTCACCTACTCCTATATCAATTTCCTTCGCCCCTCTCTTTTTATCAGCTGATTCTTTCCCCTTCTGTTTTGCAACGCAGTCTTGGTCTCGTTCTGCTGAGTCTAATACTTCCGCGCCCAAATCCTGAATCCCTGGCATCTTATCACGGATCAGCCTGTTAAACATTAACTGCGTAGGAGCAGAACCTGTACTACTATGTGGGGTTACGTTGTACATCAACACAAATTTCTGTATCTCCTCTTTGTAGTTATTTTTGTGTTGATATGCGATCTTTAAACGCTTCACTAGTAATTTGTTTATATTTTCAACCTCACCATTTGCCTGAGGCCAGTAAGGCGGAGTTCTAATCTGCTCTATGCCACAAACTTTGCAATATTCTTTAAACTCGCTACTGATGTACTGCCGTCCATTGTCCGTCCGTAAGTATTTGGGAAAACCAAGTCTGCAGAAAATTTCTTTCATTACATCGATAATGGTCGTTGATGTTATAGAACGCAGGAATTTAAACTCAATGTATCGCGAGTAATAATCAATGAAAACGAGTAGGAATTCGCCATTTGGCAAGGGACCCAATAAATCGGAAGCCACGCATATCCAAGGACCCGTTTGAAACGGTGTCCTACTCATTGGTGCTGGATTGTTTGCTTGCGAGACTAGAAGGCAATCTCTGCAGGACTTTACAAACTTTTCAGCCGCACGATCTATGCCAGGCCACCAGACCTTGGAGCGTAGCCGACGCTTCATTGCGGATTCGCCTGGATGGCCTTCGTGGGCTAGCTCTAGCACCTTTTCCCGCAGCGAAGTCGGAATGATTAAACGGTTTCCCCTCAGTAGGATGTTCCCGATTGTGGAAAGCTCGAATCGGAACGGGTAGAGGTTATTTGATGCGGCGGAAGTCCATGAATCATCTTGCAGGCAAGTAATGGCATCCACAATTTCTTCATCAAGGATGCTTTTCTCTGCTATCTCCGATATGCTCATTGACATAGGGATTGAGCTCTCCAGTATACGAAAAATGCTATATTCGGCTCTTGACTCGAAATCCTTTGTCGATGATAAATTACACAGACGAGACAAAGTGTCTGAGATGTTTTCCTTCCCAGCTTTATAAATAACTTTGAATTTATAAGTCTGTAGACGCAGAAGCCACCTTTCGATGCGAGCTGGTGGTTTTGATGTTGGCTTAAATATTGTCTCGAGCGGCTTGTGGTCGGTAACCAACTCAAACTCTAAGCCGGCTAAGTAGTAATGAAATTTTTCTACCGCCCATACCAGCGCCAAACTTTCTTTTTCGGTTTGTGAGTACCGCTTCTCCACATCAGTCAAACTTCGGCTGGCAAAAGAAATGATCTGGGGTTCGCAATCTTTTGTGAATTGTAGCAGTACTGCTCCCAGCGCCACCGGGCTTGCATCAGCAATCAGACGTGTTCGATGTTTTATATTGAAGTATGAAAGACTGGGTATTTCAGCCAGGCGAGTTTTCAAATCGTTGAACGCTTCTTTCTCTTTGGGGCCCCAGACAAATTTGGTGTCTTTTCCCAACAATTTCCTCAATGGTTCTGTGCGATTGGCTAAATCCGGAATAAACTTCCCGACGTAAGTGACCAGACCTAGGAAGCTTCTCGTCTCCTCCTTATTTCTCGGGTCTCGGAATGAAGTGATGACATCCACTTTTTCGGGATCGACACTGATACCCTTGTCTGATAGAATGTGGCCTAAAAATCTTAACCGGTGTGTTTTCCAAATGCATTTTGAGTCATTCAGTACCACATTATTATTCTTGAATATTGCCCGAACTTTTCTGACGGTCTCGTCATGCTCATCTTCATTTGATCCAAAAATGATGACATCATCTATATAATTGAGAACGTTGCGGCATGGTGCCAATAACTCCTCAAGCCGTCGTTGGAATATCTCGGGGGCTGAATTTATTCCAAACATTAATCGTTTGTAGCGGAACAAACCCCTTGGAGTTATAAATGTTGTTATCTGTCGGCTTGCCTCATCCAGTTCTAATTGATGATATGCATCTTTCAAATCGAGCCTTGAAAAGTGTGTAGCATCCTTCAACTTTGTCATAAACGATTCAAAAGTAGGCAGTGGGTAGTGTTCCCTCATCACCGCTCGATTGGCCATCCGCATATCCAAACACAACCGTATGTCGCCATTTTCTTTAAAAGCTATTACGATAGGCGAGATCCAAGGGCTGTGACCGACCACTGGCTCTATTATGTCACTGCTTAGAGCCTCTTCCAGTTTGGACAGTACCTTAGCTTCGATGGCAGCCGGTATGCGTCTCATTGGCTGTTGTATGGGCCTGATGCTAGGGTCAATTAATAACTTGACTGTTACTCCTTTCCACTTGGGAAATGGAGTAATGCACTCAGCTCGGCTGACCTGTAATCCCAATGCTAAGACGTTCAGTTTGATCGCTGTTTCCCGGCCCAGTAACGATTGTTTTCCATTTTCAATCACATAAAATGAAGCAATGATCTCTTTTCCTGAGCCTGTTGATATGGGAGCCTCGAATACACAAATTACATTAAGCAATTGGTTTGAAGCATAACCCCGAAATTGTCTCTCCGAGTTGGATCTGATGTTGAAGACAACGGCTTTGTTTGACTTCATTGATAACCAGTCAGCTTGGCAAATCAGATTAAAACGCGAGCCTGAGTCGATGATAAGGGGGACAAGCTGCCCTCCTATTGAACACTCTATCAGTTCATCATTTTCATCATCATCGCTGCAAATTCGGAAACATTCTTCCTTGGTCGGTTTCGTTCCGGAAGGAGCGCATTCATCTTGCACTTGCCGCACATTTATCCGTGATCGCTTTATGCCATCGTTGTTTGGCTGTGTGGATTGGCGTTTGAGATTCGTTCTGCACTTGCGGGCGAAATGCCCGAACCGCAAGCATTTGTTGCATTTAACTTTCCGCGCCGGGCAGGTCAAGTTATCGTCAGAGTGACCCATTCGACCACATCTACCGCATTCTGTACTCTTGCTCGGTTTCCGGAATGATATTTTATTTATTGTTTCTCTTTCCGCCTTATAAATCATCACTTGTGATTGCTTAATAATTTCTTCCTCTACTCTACAAGCTTCGATTACTTCAGTCAAGGTATGCTCTTTCTCCAGTAGCTTTTTCTTCAATTCCAGCGAAGTCCAGGAGTCCATGATTTTATCTTTTAAACAGATCTCTTCAATTTCGGCCTTAGTGGATCCGAAATTGCATTTCTGCATCTGCTGACGTAACCGAATCGTAAATTTTGCAAAACTCTCACCTTCCAAAGGCGAAAGGTTCCTAAACATATGCCGTTCGAAGGTTGAGTTTTGTTTCGGTGAGAAATAATCATTTAGCTTTTCCACCAGCACCAAAAATACGTCGACTTCTTTGTCGTTATCCGGGTCTACCAGAGCATCGGGTAAGGAGAAAGCAACAGTTTGCAGTTGCACGCCTCCCAAGTGAAGCAACTTATTTCGTTTCCTGGTAGGAGTTTCAATCTCTTCAGCATCGATATATATTTGAAATGCGCGAAACCATCTTTCCCACTCGTTTCGTAGCAGTGATTTTTCAATGGTATCACACAGGAAAGGTTTGAGTATATTTTCACCCATTTTCCTTTCCTTGCGAATCCTGCAAGTGAAACGAAAACCAAAATTTCATTTATTCATTATTTCGGCAAACTGCCTCTGACCATGTCAGTTTATTACAAGGCTAACTGCCTCTGTACAAACAGACTATTTCTCTGTTTAATAGGGTTTTTTTTTCTTTCAACTTGCAACGTACTGTTGCCCAGTTAGAATTTTATTTATTTAATTTTTTCCATTAAAGATTCTTTTGACTTGCAACCAACTGTTACTCAGTCACTCTTTTAATTACGCTTATGTGTCTCTGTTCTTTTTCTCTTCTTTTTTTTTATGGTTCTCTTGACTTGCAACCAACTGTTACTCAGTCACTCTCTTAATTAGGCTTAAGTTATTTTGAATTGTGATCAACTCTCTCTGCACTCTCTCTTCATTAGAAGTTGGTCTTTCGCTCATTATCATGATTTCTTTTTATCATGATTATCATCGTTTAACTTACCACCCTCAACGTGCGCATTTATCGTATGTTGGCAGTGGTAGGGCACAATAAGAGCAGAAGAACAAGTAGAACACAGGAAGAGAGAGAGAGAAAGAAAAAGAAAACGACACATGCATTTGTACCAAGTACCGCAATATCACGAAATTTCGTCTTGCAAATATATGTACATATGTACATCTTTAATTTAAATATTGGTTATTGCTCTTGTTTTTTTTTGTTTAGTTTATAGTTTTACCTCGTCGCCAATGTAATGACCCAAGAATCACTCCCTGTTACAACAAATATATATATTATTTGGTTTATGTATTTTACACTTTATTTGCGGACCGGCGATGCTGGTCCATCGATCGTACGTGTCACACTACTAGAACATAATAGAGAGATAATAAATCAATCGTTGACGTCGGCGCTGACGTCGCTGCTCCCGCCATCGCCCTCGCTCTTCGATGCAGGTTCCCACAACCGCCTTGTCCGTAATTGCTAGCATCGGTTTGAAGAGTCATTTTCTCGAATGCGGAGTTCTGTTCCTTTCCCCAGGTCCACTTCTGGTTCTCTCAGTAGGTTGGTCATTGGTTGAACCACTGATGCAAAGTTGGGTACAAATCTCCGGTACCAGGAGGCCATCCCTAAACAACGTCGTAATTCTCGGATATTTTCCGGCGGGTTCAGCTTTCGCACAGCGGCGACTTTCTCTGGGTATGTATGGATGCCTTGATTACTAATGACATGTCCTAAGTACGTTAGTCTCTGCTGAAAGAAAGAGCATTTCTCTTGGTTGATACGCAAGTTGGCTCCTCTGAGCCGCTCAAAGACACGACAGAGATTATCCATGTGCTCTTCTAACGTAGCCCCGATGACAATTATGTCGTCTAGATAGGCGAAGGCGTGCGGCTCCATATCCGGGCCAATCACGCTGTCTAACGCACGCTGAAAAGTAGCGGGGGCGGAGTGCAAGCCGAAAGGCATGACTCGCCACTGATAAAGTCCTCTCCCCGGTACTGTGAAAGCGGTGCTTTCCCGGCTGTCTGGCGCCATTGGTATTTGCCAATAATCATTGCGAAGATCCAATGTTGAGATATACTTCGCGTTCCTGAGTCTCTCTAGAATATGATTTATTCTAGGCAGGGGGTATGCGTCAGGAATTGATCGGGCGTTAAGCTGACAGTAGTCAACGCACATGCGCCACTGTCCCGTCTTTTTCCGCACCAGCACCAAAGGAGCGCTGTGCGGGCTGCTAGAAAGGTTCTATACACCCTTGCTCGAGTAGGGCGTCCACCTGTTGGTTAATGACCTCCTGCATGGCAGGATTCTTGGGAAAGTATCTCTGCTTACACGGTTTGTCATCTCGCATGGTGATTCTATGTTGGGCTATAGTTGCTACGCCCGTCATTCCCTCGAACTTCTTGAGCTGGATGCTAAGAAAGTTTTGTATCTGCCGTTCCTGTTCTTCGATTAACTGTTGTGGTTTCTGTGATACTGTATCCGTGTCTTCTGTCATGGTTTCAACGTTGTGGCTTGGTTCCACTGCCTTCTGCGCGTCTGGTCGCCGAGGTGGTTCTGTCTCTGTAATCCGTGCTGGTTGACTCCGGGGATTCAAGGTCCCTTTCTCTTGTGTTTGTTTTGTCATGTGCGATTTGGACTTCTGTGTGTCTGTGGGTCCTGGTGATACGGATGGTGCCGATCCGTTCGTGGGTGCTGGTTCTGCACGTTCCTGGTGTATGACAGGCTTCCCTGGTTCATTGTCGTGACCTGGTTCTGGTGATCGCGTGGGATCGGTTGGTGATAGGTTCGTTGTAGTTGTCCTCAAGGGGTGTTGTTACCCGTCTTTCCTTGTCGCAGCCCATGCTTCGCAGCTCAACCGGATTGGGGCTTGGTGATAGCCGCAGCTCTGCTGTTCCGCAGCGCAGCGTCGTTCCTATACTACTGAGGAAGTCTAATCCTAAAATCAAGGGTTCCAGCATGGATGGCATGACAAGTAATGGTACCTCGAGGAGATCCTGTACTAGTGTGATCCTGGCTATGAATAATTTTGACACTTCTATCCTCGAGTTATCGGCAAGACTTATCTGGGTTCGAATTTCTTTGAATTGATGTGGTTCGCCGACCGCATCGGCAAACTCTTGACTTACGAAACTGCGGGACGCTCCGGTGTCTATCGTGGCAAGCCTAGTCTGTCCTCCAACTTTTACTGTAGCCACTATCTTTCCGTCTTGTAATCTGAGGGGTGCGGTTACTGGAGGTTCCCTGACTCGCTGGTCCCCGTCGTATTCCGCGCGACGCGAGGACTCGGTCCGTTTCCCGGCCGCGTATTACGGCAACAGTCGATGGTGCGAATTCCTTGTCGACCACAATCCCAGTAGAAATATCTTCTGCTATTCCTTACGTCTATCCCTTGCGACGGTGTGATAATCCTGTTCGATATGGGCGCGGCCGGTTGTCGGCCTAGCTCTGCGTTTGAGTTTCCCGACCGATTTGGAGGGGCCTGATTGTTCCAAGAGTGTTCTCGGGGTGCCTGAGGTGGAGCGCGAAAAGTTGCGACTGGAGTTCTGCGGAAATTCTCCCGGCTTAGGCTACGTTGTTTAACGGTTTCGAATTCTGTGGCGAGCTGGGTCAGTTCTCCGATAGTTTTGAATTCATGGCGGCGTATGTACATTTGGTACTCCGGAGCAGCGTTCTCGTAGAGTCGGTTGAGTTCCTGTTGCTCGGTGTAGCCCGCGTGCCTCATGAGTACACGGAGATCCAGCACAAAATCCTTAAAACTCTCCCCGTCTTGCTGGTCTCGCCCCTTATCTTATCATCTAAACGTTGGAGGTACCGTGGAGGTAAAAAGAATTCTAAAAATTCCTTGCGGAAGGTTATCCAGTCCGTGCCTTGAAGCCGGCTGGTCTGGAACCATTTATCCGCCCGGTCAGTCAAAAGCTCGGCCTTAGCCCGAGGAAGTGTCTGTAATTCGATGCCGTAGGAAACTGCGCGACTCTCCACCTGCTCGATAAAGGTTAGAGGGTCGGATCGGCCATCAAATTGCAGTCCCCACTTGCGAATTCTTTCCGGGGTGCATGTAGAACTACGAGGGACTTCGATTCCCGGGACTCCTTGAGTCTGTGGTGCGTGTATGGTAATGCCGGGACTACCAAGGGGAAGGTTACCGGAGAGTAGATTATTAGGGGGGAGCAGTGAGTGCATATTTCGATTAATAATCGCACTCGAAACGGAGGCCTTATCGTCGGCGGCATTGTCTTTCTCTTCACCCGGCCTCGGGCTTGGGACACGCGAAGAAAAATGCATTTCGAGGGCCTTTAGCTTAGCCCAGACTGCGTCCGTCAACTCCGAGTGTTTGACGAAGGCGGCGAAATTTTTCTGGAGATCCTCGACGCGACCCTCTGATGCGAACCCAAACTCTGAGGCGAAGGCTAATAATTCCTCCTTATGACGGGAATATATCCAAGTCGTCCCCACACCAGGATTCTTAAGTCTAATTGGAAAAGACTCACCAAGATTGTTTGCTGCCTCTTTGTCCTGCGCTGCTTTATTTATTTCTTCCATTGTCGGTTTTTTTCTTCTCAGGTGCGTTTTGCTTAATTTTGTCGTCTGTGTTTTTATTTTGTGTTGTATTAGGAGTCGTCTTCTTGGTTTGATTTTATTAGAAATGTTGATTTATTTCATTTATTTATTCATTATAATTTAATAATTATATTTATATATATATTTTTTTCCAGTGTATTATTTTTTTCCTCAGTGTATTTCACTTCCGTGTTACTTTGTTAGGCTATAATTTATTTTCTTCCACTTCATATAAAATTTTTCTTCACTAGTTTATTTTCCGCTTGGAAAAGATATAAAAATTTTCTTCACTTGGTCACTTTATTCACTGGTTCACTTTATTCACTCGCTCGGTTTACTTTTCGGTACTGCGTCGTTAGCTCGTGGGCTTTCTGCGGTTCACTCGGTCGCGTCACTTTACGTCACGTTTCGCGTTTCTCTGCGTCGTATACTGGGCGTTTGTTATGATTTTTGGTTAATTTTCGGTGCTCCGAAACCGGATTTTCTTTCTCCAAATTTTAACCTGCTCTACAAGGTGGAATTTTTCTAGGATTTTACCCTACAAGTCCCTGCTCGGGCGCCATTTGTAACGATGCTTTGCAGGCTGGGGTAGACCTCAGTCGTGCCAGAGATCCTTACAAGAAATTTGTAATTTACAGGGGAACTTGTTTATGAAAGGAATTGTAGAGCGCGCACTGCGTACCCTCTAGCGGGCTCTGCGCCGTTAGCTAGCGGAGAAAGAAGCGGGAGGTGAGCTCCTACGTGCCGGTGAGGCACCTGGCTGTACCCAAGCTATGCTCGGTAGGACAGGTTAGGAACACGTGAGCGTGTCTGAGAGGGCTCAGGAATACTAGCTACGGGCACAGTTAACCAGGAAGGGGTCGTAGCCACGCCGGAGGGATCACCAACTACTGGCAGGGATCGGGATATGAATCCAACAGGGGCACGCCGACGTTCTCTGGATTGACCAGAAATTGTCGTAGCCACGCCTGAGGGATCGCTAACTACAGGTAGGGATTGGGAAATGAATCCAACAGGGGCACGCCGACGTTCTCTGGATCGACCAGGAATTGTCGTAGCCACACCTGAGGGATCACTAACTACTGGTAGGGGGTTGGGATAGGAATCCAACAGGGGCACGCCGACGTTCTCTGTGTTAACCAGGAATTGTCGTAGCCACGCCTGAGGGATCTCTAACTACTGGTAGGGATCGGAGAGGTTAGGATTGGGGTTAGTTGCTCTGAGGTCTACGAAATCAAGTAAACACTGGAATTAAATGTTCACAATATATCACTTCACTTTATTTGATATTCACCCTAACCTGTTTCCCTACTGATGCACCGATGTTTATTTGTTAGTTAAGCCGCGGTGGCTGTATTGCGCGTGGTTATTTGTTAGTTAAGCCGCGGTGGCTGTATTGTGCGAGGTTATCTGTTAACACGTGATCGGGGTTTACCTGTTTGCGTACGTTTGCCCTCTGCGGCGGACCGGGGCAGAACAGAAGCCTAGTTGTGGAGCGCACGTCTGCTCGCAACGGCTGTCCGGAAGGAAAGAGATCGAATTACCATCTCGATCCTCTGACCAGGCTGTCAACGTGGCGGTTTTTGACAGCGCCGCGATCTGGCAAGGATTGCGATCTGGCAACGTGTCAACCGATAGTGCGTTGATCGATAGTGCCAAAAATGGCAATGTTGGTCAGGGCGCGAAATAAA